AGCAGTGTTGGCAACATTTCTAAATGACTTATATGGTCTCCAGTCTTCTTCTTTATTTGTCTTTATTCCTCTGTAGTCTTCTTCATCTGCGCAAGATGACATGGCGTCACTCAGATAAATACGTCTTTCTTCACTTGATAGATGGTGAATGTCTGCCAAATGATTTGATAATTTGCAAAGGTTTCTCTTTCCGCGCAGCAGACAGTCTTTGCGCGTTCGCGGCATCGAGCGAAATGATTCCTCTTGTCAAACGGGACGCAGGGACATTGCTACGGGACGCCCGGGACTTGCTTGCGGGACACTTTGAGAGGTGTCAAGGTGCTCTATATGCGGGACGCACAGGACGTCCTTACGGGACGCATTTTAACGTGTCCCTGCGTCCTGTAAGTAAGTCCCGTGCGTCTCTATATGAGGGACACCTCAAAGTGTCCCGCAAGCAAGTCCCGGGCGTCCCGTAGCAATGTCCCTGCGTCCCGTTTGACAAGAGGAATCATTTCGCTCGATGCCGCGAACGCGCAAAGACTGTCTGCTGTGCGGAAAGAGAAACCTTTGCAAATTATCAAATCATTTGGCAGACATTCACCATCTATCAAGTGAAGAAAGACGTATTTATCTGAGTGACGGCATGTCATCTTGCGCAGATGAAGAAGACTACAGAGGAATAAAGACAAATAAAGAAGAAGACTGGAGACCATATAAGTCATCTAGAAATGTTGCCAACACTGCTTTGCGCAGTGCTAAAAGAGATTATTATGCAAACAAATTCACAAATAATAAACAGAATCCTAAATATGCTTGGAGAACAATAAACGATATATTAGGTCGAAACAGAAAACAGACTACGATTAATGAAATTAAACTCCCAGGTAAAACTGTTACATCGACCGACGAATTAGTCGACATTTTTAATGATCATTTTAGTAATATTGGCCCAAAGCTTGCTGAGTCTATTCCAAATGACAATGACGTTAGTTTTCGAGATTTTATTACTCAACAAAAATCTAAGACAAAGAACAGTTTCTCATTTCGACCAGTGAGTGTAACATTGGTTTACACTCTTCTAGTTAATTTGTCTACCACCATAGCGACTGGAATGGATAAAATTTCAGCTAAAATTCTACAAGTAGCAGCTCCAGTTATTGCACCTTCTCTTACTGAGATTTTTAATATGTCAATTGACTCGGGTCAATTTCCTTCTGATTGGAAAGCTGCAAGGGTTATTCCATTGTTTAAAAAACGTCAGCGGTCCATGTTGGACAACTATAGACCGATATCAATCCTTCCTGTAGTAAGTAAACTTATGGAAAGAATTATGTATGATCAAATGTATGAGTATCTTAACCAGAATAATCTTTTCTCAAAACACCAATTTGGTTTCAGACCTTATCATTCCACAACTACTACATTATTGGATTGTACGAACGAATGGTATACCAACATGGACCGTGGGCTGTATAACTAGTTGTTTTTCTTGACCTAAAAAAAGCATTCGATACAGTCGACCACGAAATACTGTTAAGTAAATTTGAAATGTGTGGTTTCCAAAGGAAAGCATTAAATCTTTTACGTTGCTATTTGACGCACCGAACTCAAAGTTGTCAATTGGCCAGTATACTCTCGGTGGAGAAAGAAATCATTTGTGGCATTCCTCAGGGAAGTATACCCGGCCCTCTCTTATTTATTATGTATATAAATGATTTGCCAAGCTGCCTAGAACGCACAACTCCAAGAATGTTTGCTGATGATACTAACTTAACGGCAGTAGGCAGAACAATTAGTGAGGCGGAAGAGAGGGCGAGCGTAGACATGAGGAATGTTCAGAAATGGCTTTGTGCAAATAAACTAAGTCTAAATATAGTGAAAACCGAGTATGTTTTAATTGGAACACGACATAAATAAGTAATATTGATACCCATCAAGGAGTTAAAATAAATAATCAATTGATTAAAAAAGTTAAAAATACCAAAGCTCTTGGAGTTGAATTAGACGAAAACTTGAGTTGGGAAAAACACATTAACCATATTAGCAGTAAAGTATCATCAGGTATTGGGGCTATTAGAAAAATGAGGGAGTATGTCGAACAAGACATTTTGATAAAAGTTTATAATGCCTTAATCCAACCTTATTTTGATTATTGCTGTGAAGTATGGGATGCACTTAATAAAGGCCTAAGTGAACGTCTACAGAAATTCCAAAACAGAGCGGCTAGGTTGATCATGAACTTAAAAAATGAACATGGTCAGTCTATTTTGGCACGAAAATCTCTAGGCTGGGTAACACTTGAAGAGCGTAGGGCACAAATGAAAGCCAGGCTCATGTACAAGACAGTTAATGGTTTAGGCCCCCAACGACTATGCGAAGCTTTCCAAAATCTGAATACCATTCATGACCATAATTTGAGAGGTTCTTCAACAAGGTTTTATATTCCAAGACCAAAAACGGAATCCTTTAAAAAAAGCTTCCAATATAGTGGGGCTAAACTATGGAATCAGATACCTGAAGAGATACACAATTCGGTATCGTATAATTCGTTCTGTAAAAAGCTATCTTCCTCGACCTTAATCTCGACTTAAAGTAGTAGTTAATTTTTTGTCTAAATAGGTATATAATTGTATTTGTTATGTATGTAATATTAGAGCTAGTATATAAATAATAATTTGTAAGTACACATCCCTTTTGGAAATCCGCTTTTGCTGAAAAGGCCAATGTGTTTAAATAAAGTTGATCTATCTATCTATCTATCTAAATGGAAACCTTTAAGTGAACGCAGAACACATTTCGTCCTTTTGGAAATCAGCTTTTGCTGAAAAGGCCAATGTGTTTAAATAAAGTTTATCTATCTATCTAAATGGAAACCTTTAAGTGAACGCAGAACACATTTCGTAGCAAGTCTTATGCATAAAATAACTCGTGAACTGGCGCCAAAACGACTAACCAATATTTTTCAAAGGACATCTTCCTCTTATTACTATAATATGCGAGGCTCTTCCACCAAACTCTTTTTGCCCAAACCTAAGACTGAATATCTTAAAAAAAGTCTTAGTTATAGAGGAGCGAAATTGTGGAACAGCCTTTCTGTAGACGAGATGTGTGCTTGATTTAAACGTTATACAACTCAAGTTGTGTGGTGTAAATCAAGCGCACAACTCACGACAACGTAGACGAGATGTGTGCTTGATTTAAACGTTATACAACTCAGGTTGTGTGGTGTAAATCGGCCTTAACAACCCTGTTGATATTATCAGACTGGTTGCAAGGTTGTTCCAACAAGTCCGATACAGTGTAGACATATAACAATATTGTTACAACCTTGTCTCGTCAACCTTGTTATATCATGACTGTATCAAACCTACATGTTAGAAGAACCTTGTAGTTGTACCATGAAGTCTGATAATGCCATCAAGCTTATTACAAGTTGTTAACAGCTTCTTCCAAACCTGTTACAACAACCGGGAACAAGCAGTGCGAACACAACCTGTCGACAGCTTGTGAATAGTTGTAACAACTTGTTTGCACATCTGTGACGACTTGTGCGTTTTTTACGTGTGTAGCGACTGCAATAATTTAGTAAGATGTTATTTGTAAAACTGGATATTATACACTGGCCTTGCAAAAGACTATGAAAGTGAAGTAGTCCAGCCAGGCATATCAAATTCGACTAGTTATGGATGGCTTTTAAAACTACTGTACCTTAGTAGTGTTGTTTTTTGTTGTTTTTTTTTTCAATTTATAGCACTTAATAAATTAAACACAAATTTCCCATTTTCCCTCAATCATGAACTGTAACTTCATCATTTGGTCATCATATCTCGTTTAGGTAGAGAAAGACCATCTGAAGTGGTTCCTACTAAATTTATGTAATTCGCATTAGGTTTGCGCACCAAGATATAGTGAAATAGAAGAATCGAAGTATTATATGGTAGGAAAATGTACTGTGGTGTATGATGACATTGAAAGAGCTCGACTGTATCCATGTACTAAACTGGAGGCAGACCACGTGTTGACAAGTAAGTCCAGTTTGTTTTAGGGTAAAATGACCATGGCAGTCAACATGGCATATGTGCCTCCGCCCAGAAACGGCAGTGCGGACATAGCTCTAACTTCCGAAAAGCAAAAACTTCAGCCTTTCTGAAGTGCTTGTAGTGTTTAGAAGGGTTGCTTTTAGGGGTGATTATTGGAAAGAAAAATTTGTCTAAGCATAATATTTTACAAGAAAATGACCATGCACCACCCCAGGTAAATTGCTGGCTGGCAGAACTTAAATTTTCTTATTTCCTAAAAAAAATTAGCATGGGATAAAAACTTTGCTTAATTTATATAATATTGTAATTTTTATAAGGTTGTCATTGTTTTTTTGAAATATAATACATTTTATTTCACTCACCCCCCACGAAAACACATTTCAGTCATATTTACAATCGAAAGGTAATTGATCTAGTTATATTTACAATTGTAAGTTAAGAAGCGTAAAAAGTTTTAAAAAGTTTTTAATAGATTAAAGTCTAAACAAAGTTATACAGACAACGATTTATGAACGACCTTTTGAATCCTTCTGTTCTCACTAGGGGGAGTTCATACTCATGCCCTCTAGGCCTAAGTAACCTACTTCTTTTTTCCGGCAGCAGTTCAAGCAATGCATTGTCCTCAGTTGATGTTATTTTGTTCCACAGTTTCTTATCTCTCTTATCATGTATTTCTTTGATGTGTGTTCGTTTTGATATATAACCATTCTTATGTGCACGTTTAATGAATTTATCTATTTGGTTCAAATATTTACCGTCGTATGCACAACCCCACAGCTCAATAGCAAAAGTGAATATCGACATAATTAGGCTATCAAACAGCAGATCTAATTGTTTAATTGATAGTCCATAGTATTTGCAAACTCTCATAATGTACATTCGTCCACTTGCTTTTTTGAGCATTTCTTCAAAGTGCAAATCCCAATTGCACGGGTTATCTTGTAGAGTAACTCCTAAAAGCTTTAGCCATGTTTTTCGCTTAATTGAAGGGATAAGTTGGGGCAAAGCTACAGAGGTGTGTCTGGGAACAACCATTTCGTACGTTTTTTCCAAGTTTAAGGGCATTCTATTCTCTTCTGCCCAATCCTGTAAACAGGCAGCTTCAGATCGAGATGTGTCACCACTTTCGTTGCCAGGCACTCCTAACGTCAAATCGTCAGCAAATTTGACTAACGCATTACTAGGATCAGCAGTTTTAATATCATCAACCATTATTGAGAAAAGAACTGGGCCTAAAACAGTACCTTGAGGGACACCACGATTAATATGTAAATATTCTGTAACCATTCCATCAACCATTACTCTTTGTATTCTATTTTCTAGAAAGCTAATTAACCAGTTCACCACATAGGGATTAATTGGTAGCTTTTTAACTTTTTCAAACAAAAGATCGTGGGGCACACTGTCAAATGCTTTGCTGAAATCGAACGACAGCACTCTAACATAATTAGCGTTTTTATCCAGCCACTCTAGCCATTGATGTTGGGATTTAATCAGAGCCATAGTCGAGTTGTGAC